CTATGTGTAGATTTTTTTTTTTTGATGAAGGCTAGCTGGAGTCCTATATGCCTCACTTATCTGTATGTCAAGTTCTTTTCTCCTCCTTGGGAAGTTTTCTGCCATCACTTCTGTGAACAGTTTTTTTTATGTCTTCTGCATTCTCTCCTGTTTCTTCATTGACTCCAATCAGTCTTATGTTATTCTTCTTTTCATCATCTAGCAGCTGCTGGATTGCTTTCTCCTGGTCCCTTACAATTTTAAAGCAATTTTTCTTTTCCTGTTCACTAATTGCAATCTTATCTTCTATATCTGAAATTCTGTCCTCACATTGTTTCATTCTGTTCTATAGACTTTGAGTGGAGTTTTTAATCTCCTTGAAATCTGTATCTGTTTTATGGATTCCATTTGTTTCCTATGCTAGGATTCCATCATGCTCCTCAGCTCCTCTATTTTTTTTTAATCTGTTTCCTCTCTAGATTTATTAATCATGTCTTGCACTATGCGCACAATCTCTGCTGTTATCTGAGAAATTAGTTCTGATTTCATTTTTTCCATGTCCTCTTTTGTTGCCAGTTCAGGGAGTCCAGGTGGTTGAGTATCAGATTGTTCCATATCGTTTCCCTTTGGGGTTGCTGTTGGGGATCTGGATGTCTGTTTTTGAAGCTTGTTTTGCTCACCTCCTCTGCCCTGGGAGTGGTGGAATAGTGGCCGGAGAGCCTCCTTCTGGGCCCTGGGATTGGCTCACCCCCTCTGCCCTGGGAACGATGGAGTGGTGGCTGGGAGCCTCCTCCTGGGTGCTGGGATTGGCTCCCATCATAAATATTAATACAATTAGATGTTGACTTTCAGATATCTCAAAGTAACTTAGTACAGAACACAAAGCCTTGAGGGACAGTGATAGAGATGAGAGTTTACAGCTTAACCCAAAATAGTTTTTTTTTAATTAATTTTTTTTTAATTAAGTAAAAATTAAATATGGTATACAATATGGTTGGTTTGTTTGGGTTTTTTTTTTTTGTACCAGGCATCAGACTCAGAACCTTGTGCTTGTGAAGCAGGTGGTGGCACCACTGAACTAAATCCCCGGCCCTACAGTATGTTCTGGGGTATGTGTGTATATGTGTATGTGTAGTGGAATGGCTAAATCAAACTATTTAACATGTTTTATCATATATATATATATATAATTTTTTTCATAGTAAAAACACAAACTTAGCAGTTTTCAAGTATATGATACATTGTTTTTAACTCTAGTCATTATGATGTACAACACATCTCTGGAACTAATTTCTCCTGTCTGAACTGAAAGTTTGTGCCCTTTGGCCAACATCTCTTTAGTCTCCTGCACAACCCCCTAAAACAGCTCTTTTTTTGTCTTATTGTATATTAATTTTTACCGAAAATGCACCTGTACAAAGTCCATAGCTGAACATATTTATAAATTTAGGTGATAAATTTAACCTGTATAAACCTATGCATGAGATCCAGTAATAATGAAGGTGTATAGATGTATATCTTGTTAAACACTGATGTATGAATTTAATATCATAAACCCTATATAGTTGTAAACTTCAGGAGACAAATGAATCAACCATTGAGTATGCATTTTCATCAGTGTATCTATCTAAAAGGTCTATGTCCAGTCCAGTGCCTAATTTATTGTCATTTTTTGACCATAGGAAGACTTCGTTTTTAAAAATCTCATGCCTTATTCTTTTTGCAGTCTGATTTTTATATAAGCCAAAATAAGAACACCAATTTAAAATAATTAAGACTGCTCAGTGGTTTAGCTTGGTGAGATTTACCTCAGTGGTTCTGGTGCCTGCTTCGCAAGCGCAAGGTCCCGAGTTCGATCTCCAGTACCCCAAAAAAAAAAAAAAGGTTTTGATGATCTTAGCTGCTTGGGAGGTTGAGGCAGAAGGATTGCAAGTTTGCAGCCAACCTGGACAACTCAGACCTTTTGTTAAAATAAAAAGGGCTGCGCCACTTGCCTTGCAACTGCAACGACCCGAGTTCAGTCCCCAGTACCAAAAAAAAAAAAAGGAGAAGTTCTAAAATAAAAAGGGCTGGAGATGTAGCTCAATGGTAGAGTGCCGCTGAGTTTGATACCCAGTATTGGGGTTGGGCGGAGATATCGATGGCCATTGCACATTTCCTATGTGGAAGTAATGATCCTGGGTCTTTGGGGAGTGTGAAAATAGTGTGTTCCCAGTGTTGATTTCCTGAAATGAGGGGAGAAGTGTTCTTTCTTTTTTCTGCTTTAAATGTTTGATATAATTTATCAGTTAAAATGTATATGACCCTATTGTCATATAGGTAGGTTTTCAAGCTAGGAATATACTTTCTTTAATAGGTACTATTCAAATTTTATATTTCCTCCAGAGTTAGTTTCATTAATTTGTCTTCCAAGGTACTTC